GACACATTTAGAGATTGTGGGTTTGTTTTATTATTAAGATTATTTTGTTTAGTTTCTTGTAAATAGTTTTGTTTTTATATTGGAAATACACTTAGGGGCTACTTTTAAATTGTTGTTTTATTGTCCTCCTCGCACAAACAATTAATTGTACATAAGGAGATTAGTCAGGACTTTCATGGAGACAATGAGGTATTATAGTGAATGTAGTAAGAAAGGTAAGTAAGAATGTGCTGTTTTTGTGTAAGGAATATTGTTGTATGTTTGGATCAGTGTTTGTGGCTAGCCTCGTGCTACATTTCTGTACATAGCAGAAATAAATATCACTTTCGTCTATGTTACTTAGAATTTTAAAAATTTAAACGCGATAACAGATTGGCAGCAAGTTTTCATTTTACAGCTGAATCTGTTAGATAAAGCCATAAGTTCTTTGCTAAAAGTTTGTTGGTGATTGGAATTTATTCCGTATACACCAATCCTATAATTGTATATATATATATATATATATATATATATATATATATATATATATATACTAGCAGCATGGCCCGGCGTTGCCCGTGCTTGATTAAAAAATCGTACGACTCATACAGCAATCGCTATCACTTGACTTAAAATATTTTTGCCCTTCCTTGCCTCTAAAGGAGTGCCCTTTGCCGTGCTGATGTTGCTACATGCCTTACTTCTTGCCTATCTCACACTGCGAATTTTTTCTAAGCTCTATACTAAACATTAAATCTGTTACGAAAAAAAGAACTAAACAAAATGAACACAAAACGATCAGCTTTAAAAAAGGACTCGTAACTGGAAAAACTGAATGAAAAAAGAATGTTAACAACAAATACTTATTCACACCCAACCCAGTTCTGCGGAATCAGAATCAACGTTGAGTTTAACCAAGCAAATGAGCCAACTGGAGTAAAGTGCCATGCAGTTTGAAATTTTTCCCACTTGTGATGAATGCAGCTATAGATTTTTTTGCATGCTAGCATACTAGTTAACATTCGTGTCAGTCAGTCGTTGGCTCTCACGCTGGCCAATAGAATCTTCCTGCCTATTCGTGGCAGTCAGCTATAGCCTCTCACTCTGGCCAGTAGAAAATGGCCGCAAACTACATGAAAACTGCCGTAGAAGCATGAAACATCGATTATTTCCACTATCGATGTGAGTTGGGAAATGCAAAGTCGGTCTTGGCCTTCTCGCTAACTTGGAGTATGTGCATGTAAATTTTGGTGCATATCCGTCGAAAATTGCGGCCGTGCATTCATTACACACACACACAACATCCTGCCTTTATATATATATATATATATATATATATATATATATTATCACATCTTAGACAGATGAGAGACGCCTCTTCACCCCCTCGCATTCCTTGTAATGGCTTCCGTCTCGTTACGGCGTGCATGGCCCCTAAGATGATTCTTGCGACCAACATTCGATTCCATAGGGATATATGCAAGATAAACTTGGTTGGGGTGACTGGATATCCAAGTGTACCACCATATTCCTGTTCAGTTTGCAAACCCTGTTGCAAATTACACAGCTCTTGCTGGCAGAACGACGAGGCAGGTTGGCATAGTTGGTTTGCTTCTGTTTGTGACCTTTTAGATTATATACATAGATACATCCATACATTCATGATATCTGCCATCTTGTTGTCGAGCATGAGTATCAATGTAGAGATTTGCGTTAAACGAATATGGCTCTATTCTCTGGACGAACTTTAAATAGCTCTTAGAAACCTCTGTTGGTTAGGGTTGCCCTTTTCCACTACGGGCGAAGAGTTAGTACAGGCAAACCTCTCATTAACAGACTTCGGATACAACGGACAAAATCTGCAGGCAAAATAAAAAAAAAAATATCTAAAGAAAAAAAACTCCCAAAGCGTTAGCGATGTATTTCAAAATTTACAGTCTTAGCGGAACGAGTCGTATTAGTTCTCAAACTGTTCGCTTGGCGTCGGTGGCGGGCCTTTCAATTGTAAACAAAGACGGAAAGTACGATACATTAGCGTGTGCGTGAGAAAGTAGATCTATTATTCCGATTATTTTGATTAATATATCTATATTAAGTATATATTTATTTATGCCATATAGTCAGGTTTATAGTATTTACATTATGATCATAACAACTGGTAGTTACTATAGTAGTTTTATAACTAAAAAATAATCCCTAATCTATGGACAATCGGCTTTAACCTGATGAGAGGTTTGACTGTAATTTTTTAAAATTATTTCATCCTAAGCAAGGGGAGATAATCAGGAAGACGCAATGGGTTACCGGGAATGAAAACGAATGAGAAGACTTTAGTGATAAAATACAAAACAAGAACATGTTTCAGGAAGACAAAGATTGGCGATTGGCGTTGAATTTATACTTTTAAAGATTGTCGGTGACGGGATAGCAAGAAGTCGGAAGATAGTTCCACAGGGGAGAAGTACGAGAAAGGACACTATCAGAATAGAACTTACGCGTACACCTAGCTATTTCAACAGTAAAAACTAATGAGACCGAACTGCCAATCTAGTAACGAAGATAGTTAAAATAATAGCGGGTTTAGAGAAAAACCGTACTTTTGACACTTGACAATCCCTTTTTTTTTTCTTTTTTCTTTTTTTAAGTGGAGTTTACGGACAAGAAGAACTTTAAGTTTACTGATATTACAGTATACAAGCAATGCCGACTATTTCGGTGTGATATAATAGTTAGCAAGCCTGTCTGGCTAGATATATTACGACGGAGTAGCGAGTTTCGATCTTCACTGTGAGCTCCATAATTTCGGCCTTGTGCCACATCTAAACTATGCACAGAAAATCATTTAGGGCGCCTCGACATAGCGTAATTTTTAACAAGCTTATCTCGCTTCATCAATTACGACTGAATAGTAAGATGGATCCTCACTGAGTGCTCCAAACTTTCTGCCTTGTGCCACATCTAAGCTACTCTTAAAAAATCACCATTTCTTTATATTCCATATCGGTTGATCAATTACGACTGAATAGTGAGTTCGTTCCTCACTGGGTGCTCCATACTTTCTGCCTTGTGCCACACCTAAACTACTCTTAAAAAATCACCATTTCTATATATTTCATATCTGTAGATCAATTACGACTGAATAGTGAGTTCCATCCTCACTGGGTGCTCCATGCTTCCGGCCTTGTGCCAGTCCTAAGCTACACTAAGAAAATCACCTTACAAAAGTGCGATAGGTAATTTTTTTATATATATATATTTTAATTTCGCGCATGCGCGTTGTTTGTTTTTTATTTTGTCGACAACACAGTAAAGTAGGGTCAGTTGGGCACCGTCTGTGAGAAAAAGACCACTACACAATTCACTCCGACAGAAATTTCGAAACGGCATGCCGTACTGCTTGGCATTCGCGCCTGAAGCTCCAGTGTGAACATTTCAAAATGTTTGGGTGCAGAGGATTCGGAAAGAGTTGGGTGAGTCTAATGGTGATTACGAAGGTACGGCAGATAAGAAAAGAACTCCCGAATTTGCTGGTGGAGGCATCAGACTCAACATGGAGTCCTACATCAAATACCTTGAGGAGGTAGTGATTCATAAGGATCAAGAGGGTGGCTGCTGGGAGACACTATGTCTGGCAACAAGATTCTGCACCATGCCACACAAGCTGGTTAACCTAATCATGGCTGTCAGACAATTACTGCGACCACATCACCTCTTATATCTGACTATCTCTCCCCAGACTGCAAACCTCTTGATTATTATGTGTGGGGTGCAGTTGAGCAAGAGACCAACGTAATTCCTTGTAACACCAAAGATGACCTTTGAAGCCAAGGATTATGGCAGCATTCAACAAATTAAACAATGAGACCGTCCAATGAGAAGCCAATGGCGATTTTATTGAATAAATTTACTCTTTAGTATTTCAAGAAATTTGTTGTGTCATTTTAGTAAATATTGTTAAAATCAGATGTGGTGTTATTTTCATTTTTTGCGTCATTTAAACGGCAATTTATCCATCGCACCCTGTACAAGTAGCATGGAAATTGTAAAGCGGGGAAAGACGTGGCAATGGGCGTCGAAGAAAGAACAGTGGGTATGCGAAAACGAAGTACCAGTCGACGTCACTGGGTGCTCTCAGGCCGCAGGTGTTACATGATTTTACGCCAGAATTCTTATCCTACTTGGATATCTTAACAAAGATGCGCGTATTTTGGATATATTTACGATGATCGTATTATGCTTATCTGTGCATCAAAAGGATCCAATAAAACGTGAATTCAGTTTTGGAAGATGAAGACGATATCTCAAGCGGAGATGGCAAAAATGAATTATTCTGCCTGAACATCGTTAAATCCTAAAGTTAAGGCAGCCTGATTGCTTTCAGCACAACATTTAAGGGACGATATATTTTCGGTGTGTGTTACGGCAGATAGGAAGCTATCAGAAAGAATTTTCAACCATAATTTATGACAAAATTAGTTCTTGAATTCCAGTCAAAAAGATTTCTAGAAGTTTACCATTGTCTTTTTATCACGTACTTGTAGGCTCAAATTTGTCTTAGCGCAAGAAATATTTGTTTTCATACCTTGTGGTATAAATGAGACACAGCTTACTGCCACATTACGTTGAAATAACAGTCACCGAACGATCAACAAAGTTAAGCAACGTCGAGGCTATTCAGTACCTAGAGTGGTGATCGCTATGTAATACCAGGGGCCTGAAGCCTGGATGTGCATGTAGAAATGACTTACGGACATATCACATTGAAACATTGGTTCCCGTACGATCAACCAAGTTAAGCAACGTCGAGTATAGTTATTACCTGACAGGGTGACCACATAGGAATACCAGGGGCTGTAAGCCTGGATGTGCATGTAGAAATGACTTACGACCATATCACATTGAAACATTGGTTCCCGCACGATCAACAAAGTTAAGCAACGTCCAGCCTCGTTATTGCCTGAAAGGGTAACCACTTCGGTATACCAAGGGCCTGAAGCCTGGATGTGCATGTAGAAATGACATACGGTCATATCACATTGAAACATTCGTTCCCGTACGATCAACCAAGTTAAGCAACGTCGAGCCTTGTTAGTACCTGGACGGTTGACCACATGGAACCTGTAATCCGGTGCTGTAAGGTTGCATGTGCGGGTGGTGTAATGGATAACGACTCGGAATTGTTAATCGGAGAACCCATTTCCAGTTACCGTTTACGCAAATACTTTTGCAAATGCTCCCTCAGCTATGGGTTAATTAGTAAGACTTATTTGAATAAATCATTTATATTTCTCAAAAAAAAAATTCGTACAATCTAAAAGAAATATTTTCTGGCTATAAATTATCAGAAGAAGCTTATAATGCGTAGACAGCGGATAAATCAATCTATGAAATACAGATTTGAACAAAGCAGACGTCATTTTTTATATATTTTCAAGGATTCATTTTCAGCCAATACTGTTTCAAAAGGTTTCACGTTGGCGCACTTAAGCAAACTCAAGACACAACTACAAAAAAATGTCTTGAGTTTACTTAAATGCGCCACCTTCTACCTTTTGAAAAATTGTTGGTTGAAAGGGAGTCCTTAAAGGCATATAAAATAACGTCACCTTTGTTTAAACATATACACCCTTCTGAAAATTAATTGAAACAAAACGAATAATTCCGTTATTATTTATTTATTTTTCATATTTCTCCTATGAAACATAACCCAGTGCACATGTTCGTACTTCGTATGTCCATTCCATGAAGTCTTTTCTTGCAGAATGACCAGATTCCCGATTGGATTTAAATCGGGAGTTTCCGAGCCAGTCGATAGTACTTTAATTTTCTCACAGGTATGGCTTTCCAGTGTGTTCGTACAGCATTTCAATTTTCTTACGCGTCCTTGGAGTAACGTCCACTGCAGACAATGGCTGCAGGACAACTAATCGACAGTCGAGACAATAGTGTCTGGGCTTGATGAAAATTTGATGCAATCACGAAAGACGCAATATTTTTTAAGGCGAAACAAATTTCATCATGCACCCCGAAAATAGATTCATATTACTGCACATCAATGCAAATGACCTAATCTGAGGAAAAAATAGAAATCGATTAAACCCTGTCACTCCAGTCGGTCTAAAACTAACCGTATATTGAAAGAAAGAAAATTAAAGAAGTTGTTTCAATTGATATACTCAAGGGTGCACATATATATATTATTATTAAGAAATGGACAAAGTCCGACAATTTATTTATTAAAGACATTTTTTTTATGTTTAACGTTCTTTTTTATAGATACAAGTATTTAAGTAAATGCTCTGTTTATAATAAACAGTATTAAATAACATTTACCGGCCTGAATGTCCGAGAAATCTTCATAGAAAATATTTGTCCTTTGACAGGATTCGAAACTGCATCCTATACGGAACCGTCATTTACGCTGACGTGCCTAACCTCTCGGCCACAAAGGAGCGTTCGGTAGGCAAGGTGTATATATATATTGGAGTGTGTTTATAAATACAGTAGGATCCCTCGTATCCGGAATCCCTCATATCCGGAATCCCGCACATCCGGAATCCCGCATATCCGGAATCCCGCATATTCGGACATGATTTTGATGTGTATATTTGATCTATTTGGGTGATATGTAACTGATTTGAAATTTCTGTTTTTCAGGAAATTTAATTTGGATAATTGCTTATACTTATTTCACCCTAATGGCTTGTATTCGTGCAAAAGATGATGGGAATAAGAGGAAAAGAACAACTTTGGAGTTATCGCAAAAAGTGGAAATTTTAAACAGACAAGACGCTGGTGAAAGTTCATTGTACCTAATTGCTAAGTTCAACATAGGAATAGTCAACATTGTATGATATAAAATCTTCCAAAGAAACTATTCTCCAGCGTTCACACTGTCACAATAAACAAAGAAATAAAAAAAAAACAACATGATTGTGACGAAACCTGGAGTGAAACAGAAAAAGTTGTTGAAAAGGTTGTCAGTTTTATGGAAAGAAAGCCAGCATTCAGCTATGACGATTGCAATAACGCACGCAGAGTTAAAAAGTGTTTTTTCGTTTAAAAAATTTTAGGAACAAAAGCAAAACGAAATGTGGAAAAAGTTGAGAATGCTATTAGAAGAGAAAGAATCATCATGCAACAGCGATTAAAAATATCCTCGTTACATTATATTTATTTTGCATACGTGGCATACTTAATTTAATGAATTTTCATTAACATTACATAATTTATTTCTTTTGCCTTAAAATCATCTCGGTCATATTTCACTTACCATTAGTTTATTTTGTTGACTATAAATCATTGAAAATAAATCTTAAGCCTGATTTCAGTTCTTTTATTTTAATCTAAATATAACCCTTCATATCCGGGCTTCGTAACCAATTCCTCATATCCGGAAGGCCTTCTCAGTCCGGTTGTCAAGGATTTTACTGTATATCTTTGACAAAAAATAACCGACAAGTTCTGTCTGTTTAATTCTCTATTGTATTTTCGCAATTTTTGGATATGTTAAGTATTTTGCTCGAAGTAGTGGATGTTTATCCCCTACTTCGAGCAAAATACTCACCAAAGTTCAGATTTTGTTATTGTTTTGTTCAATGACGTTCGACCATCTCAGTCATTTTCAAGAACCTGGTGTCTGTCTGGTAGTTAGAATCCTGGTATTCTAGAGAGAGAGAGAGAGGAGGGGGGAAGAAAAGGCAAGACAGTGGTAAAGGGAAGTAAAGTTAAACAGTAGACTATTTCGTAGGCGTTTTTATTTTTTGGTTGTGGGGGGGAGGGTCTGAAATTGAAATTAATTTTTATGAATTTAAAATAATGAATTGATTAATTAAAGTATCATAATGAAAATGACATTTCTGCAGACTAATTTACATTTGAAAGAAAGTTCGACCGTCTTTATTTCTCCGGGTCTAGTTTATTTGATTGTCAATGACAAAAGCGAACGGACTGAAAAGAAAGAAATGGCCCACTCGACATCCATTGGAAGTAACTACCTTCCGGCAATTGTCTGGCATTCGGATATTTTATTGAGAGGAGAAAGGAAAAAACAACGCGACAATATATACGACCATCTGACAGAACGCATTAACTCAAAGAAAAATACCCTACGGGTGTTAATATTTCTGCGAATTCCTGTGTTAGTCTTCGAATTTCGTTGTACACGAATTACGAAGACCCGCATTTGCAACAGTCGTGAAATGACCAAGTGTGACAAAACTAATTTTAACTCGAGGGTAATTTGCAGTTCAAGACCCGCGCTCAGTTTCTTATGAAAAAATTCACGAATAGTTCCATTTGGGTGGAAATATACATGCTTAATTCGAATATAACAAAGAAATTTTGATAAAATCTACCGTTCTGGAGTTATCGACAGTAAAATTTCGGACTCATTCGCGTCGCGGAGGGTGAAGTTGAAATTAATTCTGCATCCCGTACTGAGTGTGTGCATAGGTTCAACTATCGTCTGATTCACACTTATTCCCAGTCTTTTTATCAGAAGCAGACGTTTATCGTTTTTGTTTTTTTATTTCGGTTTTTCGGTTTATATTGGGTTTCCGGTTCCTTCTAAATTTTACTTCAATTGTATACGTTTAACGTATCCGTCTAAACTGTGAAATCTTTACTATTTATTTTTCCACCATAAAAGTAGATAAGTTCCCCTATCACCGGGTTATAATTCCTCCTAGGTCTTTTGAGCAAGAGTAAAAGTTTATCCCTTGTTTCCTGTTTAGGATTAAGCTCCTAATCCCTTATAAAGTCTATTTCCACACTATACATCTAATGTCTCGGAATGAACCCTGAAATGTTGCTGATTCCAGTCTCTGTAGGAATCTGTATCTATTTTGTACTTTAATACAAAATTGTGGCACAAGGCCGAAGAGGAACTGGGGGAAAGGCTAATCTTCAGTGATTATCCTACTCATATTTAACCACAATCACGACCCATTCATTCAATACAATATACTCAATGACCACAACAATTTGTCCATCACCTCTCAATCCTACATACACTATAATACCACATATTCACAGGGGTTACTACAAAACACCCCACTCTTTGACATAAAAATTCATAAAAGTTCCAATGCAATTTCTATAGGAATGATTGTAAAATACTTACCCCTCCTCAATATATTGGCAGAAGCACACAAATGCATGCTGGGAGTTGTTCCTAGCCAATAAAAGATGGCGAAAGTTTGTACAACAAAATGGCGCATATCTGATTGAATACATCTATTCCCAAATATCTATTAGGCTGGTGCAAAAATAATGACGGAATAATGTCGTTTTTGACGTATTTTTAACGTCAAAAAACGACATTATTACGTCATTATTTTTGCACCAACCTAATAATTAAATCAAATTCACTTAAAAATACTAAAAAAGTGCTTTTGCCACCGATTGCAGCCTGAGGAACATCCAGCGCACATTCACCCTTACCCCGCCCCGCCGAATCCTCTCACCCTCTACGAAAGCGTTTGAGGGTTGCGTGCAGATCAACAGAAACATTTCCACCACGATTTTGTAGCCGCTCTCGATTGATTGAACTGAATCATGGACCACCTCAGAGATGGAGTGGGCGACAGCTTCCATGTGGTTCAGCCTGGAGGTTACAACCTAACTGACATGGTCGACACCAGCGACACGACGCCGTTCTGCAGCTCGCTGGATTGGCGTGGCGGGAAAGCGCACTCCGTGTCTTCAACGAAGAGGTGACAAGACCTGGGCTAAGAGGATTCCAATACCAGAACAACAGAAGAATGTGGGATAACTACAGAAGTCATGAGAGGAACTCTGTAGACAACATATGACGGCGTCACGACATCTCTCCAAGTCACCAAGTCAACAACGCCTTCCTCCTCTCTGTGAGACGCCGATACGTGGCCCTCTCAGCAAGACCCTAGCATCCCGCATCCATTGTTTCTATACGTAACGTATATATATATATATATATATATATATATATATATATATATATATATATATATATATATATATATGTATGTATATGTATATATAAATAAAAGAAAGAACAGTAAGATATATAATCCGGTGTTCTTATAGATATTTTTATTTTTTATTTATACAAAATAGTGCTCAATGTAAATTTATAGAGCATTAATATATATATA